TCAGCGGGGGGGGGGGGGGGGGGGGGGTACTCCCATACATTACCTATACGGGTATGTGCCGCCCAACGGGGTCGTGACTTTGAAGCTCCTAATTTAGAACGGGGTATCCATTTCAGAGGCGTTTTCTAGAACGGGGTATAATATTTCGAACACACGAAAGTTCCAGTTTTGTAAGCAGCCATTTGAAATTATTCAAGGACAGATTCCTTTTAAAAGTACGGTTCAATGCATTAACAAGCAAACTGTTGTACTCTTTGCACCCTAGAACGGAGTATAAAAAATTGGCCCATTTCTAGAATGGGGTATCAGTTTTAGGGTGAATTCTAGCACGGGGTATTAGTTTTAGGGGAATTTTTTTTTAGAACGGGGTGACAATTTGGAGTACCGGGCGACACATACCCACCCAAAAATACCCAAGTGCCCCCCCCCCAGGAGTACCTGTAAGCATCATTTCAGTCTTATCATTGTTTAACATCAGTCAGTCTTCAATCATCCAGTTCCTCAAGTCATGGATGCAGTCACGCATAGCATTTAGCGCGGCCTCGTCCTCCCCTTGCACATAAGGACTGAATGCCAAATACAGCTGTGTGTCATCTGCGTAGCAGTGTACACTTGGGAGGTGCTTGCTGACGATATCAAACAGCTTACTGTGAAAAAGCAGATGATAGGCCATCTTTTATAGTGACAGGCTGTGTACGATGCCACATATCGATGTCCGTACGTTTGCTGATTGTTTGAATCGTCATGAAACACTTGTTGAAGTGCTTCTATGATTCCAATTTCCGTGCCACAGTCAGTCTAAACCTTTCGAGGGCAGCCACTAAGTTGCTCTACACAAGCCATGTAATATCCGGAAATCAAGGATGGATCATGGTTAGTTGATGACACTCGTAGATACATAATTCTCCGAGAATAGCCGTCAATGCAGCCACTGATACCAAATCCGAATGGAGCGCGTTTATCGTAGCCGTCAATGTGCCAAATCACATTTGGCCCTGGGCATCTGTAAACACGTCTTCGTAATCAGCGAGCTCTTCTTTGTTCAACACTAACAGGATCCAGTTCTTTAAGAAGTCTCATAACTGTGTTGCGAGAAACGTTTAAGTTGTATCTGGTTCTGAGGCATCTTGTCATGGAACGATAACCCATTAAACAGCCTGGCCCATTTAATTCATAGTGTACCGTTCTCCGTATTTCGTGAGCTGCACTTTCGTTATTCCTCCATCAAAGATTATATTTAATGTTAATAAGGTATTTTAGTTGTCTTACAGTTATATGGATGCCGTGGTAGAGGGATAAAAACGTAATGATGCTGGTGTACTTGTAACCAATGAACCAATATGAGCGTATGCAATCTTCCAGCGAAGCAAAATTGCTCACAACCAGACAGGCAGGAAGAGCATTAACCAAAACAAATTGATATAATAGAAATACCAAAACAGTGGGGGGAAAAGAAAAGTGATTTACTAAAGAAGCCATGTTCTACACTGAGCAAGAGGTTTAACCTTTGTGATTACACATGTCTGTCTTAGTAGCCTGGCTAGTCCACTGTTTTGTGTTACTGTTTTTTTCTCTGTTATCCAATTTGTATTTCCTTTTTTGGTTTTGTTCCCGACTCACTGGAAGACCACTGGAAGACCACTGCTGCAAAAGTGGTTCGAGATAAAAAAAAAAGGATAGCACTCAACTTGAGTATCAATGTATTCAGCACTAAAGTAATAATTGGGGACACTATTTTTACGTCTACTACAGCCATTTTACGTGGTCATGCATCGGAGCCACGCAAAGGTCTAGCCATTTGCAGCAGGGCAAAGGTAATACCTTCATTTCTCAGTCATTTTAAGATCCTGAGTATTGGTCCGACAACGGGAATTGAACTTGTGACCTCCCACTCTGCAGTCAAGCACTCTACCAACTGAGCTAATCCTACCACGGTTGAGATTAAGTTTACATAAGATAGTAGTACAGTGGAACATAGAGCATAGATATGGGGTCATGTAACAACAACAATAGTTCAAATTCCAAAGAGCACATTTTCCAAGCAGAGACGAATTCGTTGATTCGAAATATGGCACCAATATAGTGCAAATTCACTCCAAAACTGTTTAGAGCGTGAGCAGTGATAGAAAAAATGGGTTAATGATTCAGGTTGATTGTCACAGAAAGTACATAAATCATTTGTTCTAAAACCTATTTTATACAACTTTGTATTTGTGTAAAGAATTGAGTTAAATACTTTGTACTGGAAGGCTTTAACATACGACTTGACAACGATAGAGTGTGGCAGCTTAAATATTTGCTTCAGATTGTCGCTGTTAAAATGAAAGTTACTGTGTAAGTTTTTAATAATATTGGGCGGTTAAGCTTTTTCTCTGATGAGTAGGTTGCAGTAATCCTTTGATTTCCCTTTCGTAACATCAAAATTATTGTCACCCACCACAAATGTTGGTGGGTTTATGGAAGGATACCTGTCATAACTTCTTAACGATAATGGAATGGACCTGCGTAAGCCAGCCCATTCTAAAATATTTGTTTGGCATTTTTTTTTANCTGTTTAGAGCGTGAGCAGTGATAGAAAAAATGGGTTAATGATTCAGGTTGATTGTCACAGAAAGTACATAAATCATTTGTTCTAAAACCTATTTTATACAACTTTGTATTTGTGTAAAGAATTGAGTTAAATACTTTGTACTGGAAGGCTTTAACATACGACTTGACAACGATAGAGTGTGGCAGCTTAAATATTTGCTTCAGATTGTCGCTGTTAAAATGAAAGTTACTGTGTAAGTTTTTAATAATATTGGGCGGTTAAGCTTTTTCTCTGATGAGTAGGTTGCAGTAATCCTTTGATTTCCCTTTCGTAACATCAAAATTATTGTCACCCACCACAAATGTTGGTGGGTTTATGGAAGGATACCTGTCATAACTTCTTAACGATAATGGAATGGACCTGCGTAAGCCAGCCCATTCTAAAATATTTGTTTGGCATTTTTTTTTAGACAGTTGATTATAAGAATCAGTACTGTTCAGACTAACTAAAAGATCCTGAACGCAAATGACTCTCACAATTGCGACCACCATAACAAAAGTTCCTGATAAAATTGAGAACGAATTGTGTAATCCGAGATATTGTAGTTGCAGTTAAAAAAGAACAATCCCCCAACGGATCTCAGTATGTGTTGTAGGTAGCTTTTCCAAGTTCCATTAGTCCCACTGAAGATACGTTTTAACCACGCTAATCTCAATGATTTAACCATGCACTCGGGATCAACCATTCTTAGCCCTCCCTCTTTGTATTCGTTTATAACTGAAGCTCTTGTTACCTTATCTACACCTTTCAAGAGAAATTTAAACAGTTTTTTATTCAATTCTTTTAGCAATTCCTTGTGAGTTGGAAGGATCGAACAAATGTAAATGTACTTAGGGATAAGAAAAGATTTGATTATTGTCACCTTACCGTATATCGACAGGCCTCTAGCGGACCATATATTAATACACCTTTTAATTGAATCCAGTCGTTCTATAAAATTCTTTTCTTGAAGCAATTTTTGGTCATAAGTAAAATATACACCTAGAGCTTTTATTGGCTCGTCCGGCCATTTAATACCGAAAGGTTTTTCTTTATAATGTCTCTTAGATCCAATCCACATACCTTCAGTTTTTGAACAGTTAATCTTGCGTCCAGAGAGAATTTCGAATTTGTTAAGTTGTTCAAATAATCTTGCGGCCGAGCTTGTATCAGCTAACACAGCGGTTGTATGGTCTGCAAACTGTAAGAGCTTAGTTTCCTCAGTTCCTATTGTGATTCCTTTAATTGACTCTTTTTGCCTTAAAGCAATTGCTAAAATTTCTACAGCAATTATAAATGAGTAAGGAGAGAGTGGATCACCCCGCTTAACACCGCATTCCAGAATAAAAAAGTTAGAACTAATGCCATTGTTTATAACACAGCTTTGAATGCTGTTATAAAAGGTTTTCACCAATTGAAGGAAGTCTAGACGAAAGTTAAGACTCTCAATGAGAAATTCCCATTCCAAACTGTCAAAAGCTTTTTGAAAATCTATAAACAGCAGTAAACCTGGGATGTTTTCCTTAGCTGTGAAGTCCATAATATCGAAAATAGAACGTATTGCTTCACCAATGAAACGATCTTTAAAATAACCAGTCTGGTTGTAGTGAATGATACTGGGTAACACCTTTTTAACCCTTGCTGCGATCACCTTGGACAAAATTTTTGTATCTACATTAACAAGAGATATTGGCCGCCAGTTTTCGAGGAGACCGCGATTTTTTCCGCTTTTCTCAAGCAGAGTAATTACAGCCTTTTTTGTGAGCATGACATTTCCCCTTTTTCGAAGCATTCATTTGCACACCTGATAAAACTTTCGCTTATTAAAGGCCAAAATTTTCAATAGAACTCGGCTGGAATGCCATCATTTCCAGAGGATTTATTACTCTGAAAGCTATCCAAGAGTTCACAACATTCTTCTGGAGAAATTAATCCTTCACAGGAATTTTTTTCCTCCTCTGAAAGTTGGGGAATATTCAGATCGTTCAAAAATGAAGATATTTTCTCTCCTAAATTAGGACTATTAATGCTGCCTTTGTACAATTCTCTGTAAAAACGCTCTTGTTCTTTTAGTATACGGTGCGGGTCCATTGTAATTTTACCATTTATGCAGTTTTCTTATATGCTTTTTAACGTGGTTCCTTTTTTCTAAGTTTAAAAAATATTTTGTGCTTTTCTCTCCATGTTCATGCCATCTAGCACGTGCTCGTATTATTACGCCTTTGGCTTTTTCTTTGTAAAACGACTCTAACTTCTCCTGAGCTACGTTATAATAGGTTTTGTTATGGTCGTTTGGATTATTTTCAAGTTAACTCTTTGCTTTAGTTAACTCTTCCTGAAGGTCAAGTTCCTTTTTCCCCCTTTCTTTTGCCTTTCTTTTTGATCGACTTAAAATCCTCAGGGATATTTGTTACATCATACTTTAGTTCTCCTATGTACAGATATCTACCAACCACTTTGGCCTCTGAACCTTGCTCCTATGCCTTGAACATCGCCTTTATTAGCTTCCTTCGTTCATCTTGTATAGCTTTTGCATAATCGGCGGTTATGTAAGCGTCCTTGAACCTTGTGCTCTCTTTAATTCCCTTTTTCCTTGCAAAAACCTGATCTCTGTCTTCTCGGCAAACGAAGCGAGTAATGATCGGTCCGTGTTTGTTTTCTTTTTGCTTGCCAATTCGATGCACTGCATGAAATCGAATTTGTGCAGTGTCCATTTGCAACTCCTTTTGCAAAATGCTGAGAATAATTTGTTTTGGCGAGTGGTTAACACCTTCTTCTTCTGATTTTGGAATATTGTGAAATTTTAGATTCTCACTCCGAGTATAATCTTCCAGCTCTATAACTTTGTCTCTTTCCTCCTTTGGCTCAGCTTTGGTTTTTGTAAGAAGCGCTCGCAGTTCTTGCATCTCGTCCTCCTGTACCGTTTTAGAGTCTTTCAGAGCTTTGGTTGCCTCTTTCATATCTTCAATGGTCGCCCGTATTTCATCTACATTATTTTCCACGCCCTTAATATTGCTCTTCAACATATCAATTTCTTCCTTCATTTCCTGTCTCAGGCCACATAATTCTCCGTGCAGCTTCGCAAAGTTTCTTCCCATATTCGCCGTTAAGTTTTGAATTAAGTCCCTTAGTGAATTTGTTTCCTCTTCTTCTTCGTTCATCCTCGCTTTTTTTAATTCGGTGTTGGATGAAACAGAACTAGAGCTGGAGCCTCTTTCTCCCCTTTTGGATTTAGTCATAATTCTGATTCAAAATAACCGAGGTTTTCCCCTCTTGAGGTTGCTCTTCACACCGTGTGGCCTTCCGCCATGACGCTCGGCCCCTCACATTTTTTTTTTGCTTTCCATCCGCTCTTTACTTTGGGTCATTTATGAAAGATTTAGGAAATCGTTTATCCTCGGTGTATGCGTCGAGATGCTCGAAAGAGTTCATTTTAGTAATTTTTATTTCATGTAACGTTGGCTTCTTCCTTTGTTTTTTTTCTGTCTTTTCTCGGGCCGTACAAATGCCTAAAAGTGACTTGGTTAATATCCAGACAGAACGACCTGGTGGTTGGTAATTTGAGCCCCGCCCCAAGATTCTTTACAAGCAGGGTTAATAAGTATTATTAGTTACTTGCAAGGGAAGCAAATTAAAAACAACATTATTGGTTAAAAACTGAACCTATAAGCCAATCCCCAGGCTATTGGACACCACTTTTGTTTTTTGATTGTTAGTTTTTTTTGCATGTTGGCAGGGAATTGGTTGTGTAATTCCAAAGAGAAAGAATAATAATAATAATAATTATAATAAGAAGAAGAATAAGAAGAAGAAGAAGAAGAAATAAAAACACATAAACATGAACAATGTAAATTTTAAGTGCATTTGTCACAGTGAGCCGACCAGAGGCATGAAAATAAAAATAACCGATTTCGGCGAAAACTGGTGTGATTAAACTACTTTTTATGGTCGTTAATATGACACAGTTTTAGATTCATCAAACCTTTCCTTGACAAAACAAGGTAAGGTCAAAGGTCAAGCCTAAATTGCCGGCAATTTATCACTACAGAAAAGCAAATGTCAATATTATTGACATTTTTTAAACATGTATTTCACAACTCCAAGACGTAGCGAATCAAAATAAAGTTAGTATATTTAAAAATTAATTCTGTTTCTGTTGAATTTCATTTTAATAGTCTTCGGGAATAACGTGCCCTAATTCGTGGGAGTGTTTTGCCATAAAAGTGGTGTTTTTAAAAATCTTTGAATTATGCATTCCAGCATTCTATTGATAAAACTTATGCTCTGTGACAAAGGTAATGAGCTATATAGTGAAATAGGAAAGGAAAATGTTTGGGCAGTTTTGTTTTCTAGGATCTTTTTGTGAGTGCGTTTAGTCTATTTAGCCAGTTTCAAGTTGCGTGACACAAAATAAAACGATGTTTACTTCATTGCTGTAGAGTATTATTATTTTGCTGTAACGGGTAGCTAGACCTAAAGGTGAGTGACAATCTTAGTCATCTTAGGTACTTAACGACCCTTTCGTTAATAAGCGAGCCAAAAAGGTACGGCACACTTTTGAGGATGTCCTTCAAAAAGTTTTCAAACAATGAAATCAGAAAGTGAGTATTGTTCGATTCAACAGACACCGCATCTTCACGAAACTTATGGCTGGGGCTTTTAATTAATCCTTTGAAATTTTCAGTCCTTTCTCGATATTTTGTGCATATTTACCAAGGATGGATCCAGGAATGGTATGAATCCTCCTTGTAACCGGCTAACATTGCAGACTTACCGAGTGTGAGCCGCGGTTATAAAGCATGGGAACAGAGATCTCTTATTGGCTACGGCTGAATGGCACGTTTGATAAAAGGGAGATGTTACTTGAAGCCATTTGTAAGATATTTTCTAACGGAGCGGTAGCATATGGATGAGAAATAATTTAGATCTATATTTTTCAACGCTGCCTCGGTGAATGCAGGAAAGATATGTTTTGTTCATTTGCGTGAGCGGCAAGCTCAATTCCTTGTGGCAATCGACAAGTGAGGGAAAACAGCAAACTTCTGTTGACTTCGCTGGAGACTTTAACCCCTCAACATGAACCATGGAAAATTCAGGAAAAAGATTTACTTCTAAGCAGAGCAGGTAACTGTTTAAACATAACATGCCTAATGAATTGCATTATATGCGAAATAAGCATTAATATTAACACGTTATAATTTTAGGTATTCAAGATGTAAATGACGAACAAAAAAATGTCATGACAATATGTCCAGCACACTGCTTCGAGCTTGCCCAACACTGGAGACCATCCACCGCTTGCTGTCATCCCGAACACACTCAAAGTACTCAGAAGCGAAAGGTTTCAATTCCTGATAGATACATCACACCAGATATGGCAAAAGAAATCATGTTAATGTATGGTTCACACGGTATCATTGGATCTCGTAAGTGTTTCAAGTAATATCTTGTCATTAATCTGTTTATATTTGTTCAGCGCTGATACACTTGCCAATGTTTCGTGTAATGTGTTCCCCATTCTTGTTGCACTGTTGTGACAAGTTACAGGAGGCGTTACTTAGTCTAACATCCCTGGACAACAGGTAAAATATTGTTACAGCATTGCCATTTGGTGCAAAAAAGAGGTCTTGATTCTGCTTTGTGCAGGGCTTGCTATAAAACCGAGAAATGTTCCAGTCGTCAGGTTCACTTCAGTGTGAGTCAAGTTGCAAGAAAAATTGCCTCGTGCTATAGTGCCTAAAAGTTGTACGCGATAAACCAGCACCCTGGGGGAAACAGATCAAATACTTCCCTTTGCCCTCACACTGATTACTGTCAGTACACTCACAACACGATGTCTTCCCCTAACTTTCTTTCTTCAACTACATTCTTCACACACATAATGGGTGGGGGGGAGTGTTATAATATTTTAATTTTCACGCCCTGTGTCGAATTTCATGTGCACGGGCTGCTAGACTCATTATATATTCAGTTTCGTTTGTACCTTCAGGGCACTTGACAGAGATTAAAGATGTCTCTTCAGTAACCGCTTGAACGTGTGGTTCACTGTATTACATGGTGACAGCGGTGGCGCTTCTGCTTCGTTTTAACTGTGTATGTTATACAGCATGCCTGGTGGTGATGCCGCCAGTGGACAGTCTGGTGCGGTAGCGCCGCCATCGTCGGCTTTTCATCAGATTACTCCGCCAAAGTACCTTGACTTGAAACATAGTGGAGAAATTGCCGTAAACTGGAAGCTTTGGAAGGAGAAATATAACAATTATTTTGAACTTTTATTTTGAACTTGAGTGATTGGCCTGTTGTAATAGCAAAAATGGAGAAGCACTGCATTGGTGAAGTCAACGAAATTCACGAACGATACTGTGTTAATATGCAAGACAAGCTTCCAACGGAGTTGGTTGATAGTTTTCTTGCCGAGTTGAGGAATCTGGCCAAAACATGTAATTTTTGCGACTGTTTGCGGGATAGTTTAATCCGTGATCTTATTTGCTAGTGCTTCCAGTAAGCATGAGCCCACTATTAAAATAATCTGAATTAATCTAGAATGTAGGAGGAATAGAACTGCTCCTTGTTTAATTATACAGGTTAATATTTATTATTATCTACTCGTGAAACCAGCTGCCTAGTGACATGTTCATGTACAGTGTACTTAAAATTTTTTGCAACCCTTAAACATGCAAGGTGTTGTTTTCAAGTTTTAAATTACCAAGGCTGAAGGCTTAATATATGCATGCTTTGACATTTTCTTTGTTATTTTCTGCCTATTTTAGAGTCAAACACCGTTGGTCACCATGTCTAAAGGTAATCAAATAAATACACACTTTACACCATGTAATTATCGTCTGTATCAATATGGATGGAATGTACATGTTTTGACTCTAACATCTCTGTTTACGATAGGCTTGAAAATCATCTTCATCCCTACCACTCTCTATCTCTTTATCCTTAGAAACCTCATAATTACTGAACTGCTCAAAAGTAAGTTAAGGTAGAGTGCGGCCTCAGCCTTGACTAGAATCCCATTTTACAATTTTTTGACTCGAACAGGTGCATAAATCAAATTTTAAAGGGGCTGTGTCACGCAGTCCAGTTCATTTTGTTTAATTTTGCCAATTACTCGCCCTCAATCGTTATGGAATTTAAAGTAAGCGAAGAAATTACAGGTAAATGACAAAATCAGAGATCCGAGACAAACAAATATGTCTCCTGATCATTATTTCGGATGTGGCAAGCAGCCGGGATCAACTTTGAAAAACTGTTAGGCTGAACAGTTTTCAAAAAACCTAATTTCAATCGGTTTCAGTCTTCTTCAGTTTTGCCCATCCATGGCATCTGTTGCATCCTCGGAGACCCAGGGGCAGATAGTGGGGGCAAGGGAAAGACTAAACGGGCAGAAAAAAATTGCGCGAAGAAAAGTAAAGAACGGCGAGAAGAGCCCCTGGGGACAATGTCTTACCAGACCAGTTCCAAACGGTCGCCGCCGTTCTGGCTTCTGATTGGTGCCAGAAAACTGTTTTTCTGCCCAATCAGAAGCCAGCAGACCTATGGGTCATTTCATGTATCCTTACACGGAATGATACATGAATGGCAGTTGCTCGCCATGTTGTCTGGGCTGTTCGCCGAGGCTTTGCTCGAGATGAAAAGTTCCAATCTCAGCACAAAATTTAAGGGATTTCCTTCGGACTTTACGCTAGAATCTCACCGGTGAATATGCTGGACCTTTCGCAGGTATCCCAACAGTAGCGTATTTAAAAGTTTGCGAGTTTTTTAAAACACTCACCAATTCACTAATGTATTATTTGGTTTCCTTTGGACGATATCTATATTAATGTTCTGTCTAGATTTCTTGCATCACTTGCTGTGATTGAAACTTTGCCAATCGCGGGTATAAATTCTTTTGTCGCACGGGCCAGACAAGTATGTCGAGCAACCGGCAACACCGCGTGCACGACTTTCTTTGCGCGCCAAAAATCACAACTTCCGCATTGCCATCGAGCGCCATTCGTCGGTTATCATGGCTAAAAATATTTCGTCCAGTGAAATTAACAATGCTATTTGTTCCAGTTTGATTTTTCCCCCTGGAATTCATGAGCTGAAACCCGAACAAATACTCGTCATCCGGAACGTTGTTCGTGGAAAAGATGTGTTGGCCGCTCTACCAACAGGGTTTGGAAAAAGTTTAACATTTCAAATTTTGCCATCTGTGTTGAAGTCATTGCAGAGTAGTTACGTGTCACCTTCTCCTTTGGTTATTGTTGTTTGCCCTTTAAAATCTACATTAAAGACCAAGTGAACTATCTGAGGTCACTTGGTTCGAAAGCTGGCTATGTTGGGGAGAGTGATGAATTAGATAAGGGGATTATTAATGGCACCGCTCAGATTAACCTGCTGTATGGAAGCCCGGAATCATTTGTCGGGGAAGAAAAGATACGGGGAATGTTTTCCAACATGTTTTACCGCAAAAATGTTGCTGCAGTAGTATGTGATGAGGTGCACACTGTTGTCCACTGGTAAGATTTTTCTCCTTATAATAATACTGGCTCTATTCAAATCCTCTAAACTGAGTGAAAATATTTGAAAATTGTTCACTATTTTTAAATTTTAATTCTTTTGTACAATACTACCAGCACATATTGTTAATTTGCTTATGAAATGTCATTTTAATTTTTGTTTTGATTATGTCTATTCCATCACTCAAGTCTACATTACTACAGTTACAACATCCGTGCTTTTATAGAAGACTTCTCTGCGGTGTACCTGACTGTTTATAACTGCACATGTTACTGTACAAGTGTTAGCGCTAACAAGAAGCCTATGTACATGTGCCCCTGCCCAGGCTATAATAGTTAAGTGTTATGAAATCCAAATTAATGTTTGATTGACAAGAGCTTTTCTCTATTTCCTTTGCTGAATGTATAAGGCTGGAATTTTATTTAATTAACCAGCTTTATGAGAAGCTGCCAGATTATTAAAAGTCCTAGATGACCTTTGTTCCTACCCTGAACAGCCTTTACGACTCCCAAACATTACACTATGAGCGTTATGGATGTTAGAGTCAACATTTGACGTAATGGAAGCTCTTTTCTCACAGTGATTAGGTTGCTGTGAATTATGGTAGGAAAACATGTAGTTTATCCTAAATGTTTGCATGGAACTCCATTCATTCAGCGTAACATACACTATGACATCCACTGCACATGTTTATGCTCCCTGATTTCTGATAATAACCAATGTTTATTTCACTAATAATTTTTAGGGGTGAAAGAGGCAATGGGAAGAAAGATCCCTTTAGGAAGTGGTGTGGTGCTGTAGGTGAAATTAGGTCTCTTCTTCCCCAAGGGCTTCCAATGCTGGCCCTGACAGCAACAGCATCAGTTGGCACAAGAAACAAAGTTATTGAAATGTTAAGTCTCAACAAAAGTGTTCAGATTGTTGTTAGTCCAAACAGAGATAATATAAAACTTTACCTTGAAAAGGTGAAAAATGATATCTCTGATAATTTCATGTGGCTAGTGAATGAATTGGAACAAAAACAACTTGACTGTCCAAAAGTATTGGTATATGTCAGGGATTACCAGCGATGCAGTGAGATCTACCATCTTTTTATGCAAAGTTTAGGAGCTAAAGCATACTTCCCACCTTGTGCCAACAAAACACCCAAAAATAGAATGGTTGCCATGTACCACAGTGGCACTTCTCCTAGTATTCAAGAAATTGTCCTAGCCTCTCTCAAGGATCCTAATGGAAAAGTTAGAATCATTATTGCTACGAGTGCCTTAGGAATGGGAGTAGATATCAAGGGCCTACACCGTATAATCAACTATGGACCCCCCAGTGATATAGAATCTTACATACAAGAATTTGGAAGAGCTGGAAGAGATGGCAATCAGTCAGAAGCCCTTCTTATGTTTCATGGCAGGCAGCTACATCACTGCACACCCGAGATGCTTGAATCCCTGAAATCAACCAGCTGTCGAAGAAGCAAACTTCTTGAACTGTTTGATAAAAGTACTGCTGGTAATCAAAGTTTTTCCAGGATAACGCACCTGTGCTGTGATGTCTGTGCACTTGAGTGTACATGTGAGTCCATAAACTGTCCAGATATAAATGACAGCATGGATTCACTGAAAAGGAAAAGTACTGATATTACAGCAAGTCAGAGACTTAGGCCTGTTTCCATTGACCAAAAAAACAGCTTGAAAGAATTCCTCAGAGAATGCCAAAAAAGGATAAGAGATGAGTTAATGGAGTCAAACCTCAAGTTGTTTTATGCCAATATTGTCAATGTCACTTGCTTTACCAATGAACTTATAGAGAATGTAGTATCCAAATGTGACTCGCTTTTTTCTGTTGAAGATATACTGGAGAAACTTTCTGTGTGGAAAGTGGACCATGCCCACGAAATCTTTAGTTGCTTATGCAATGTATTTCCAGATCTTTCAAAACCGTAGTCAGTTGGAGACATTAACAGGTTGCTTTCTGATACAGTTTATGTGTTAGGTTATAGCGGAGCTCTAGCGCGAAGCGCGCCTGCGGAGCACCATGGGTAAGTAAATCTACCCATCCCAGAAAATTTGGTAATCACGTGACCGTACACCGCCCGCCCGTCCGTCCGCACCACAGGGAAACCAATGTTCAATCTCACACTTTCTAGCTAGTCTGGGAGCACAGGAAGACTGATATTGCACACATATTGCACATCAATGTTGTGATCAATTGACAGCTGTCAAAACAGGGTATCCGCTGACCACTATCACCTGACCATATCGCGGGCTCAGGTGTCAACCCATCGAGGTCGAGTATCTTTTTGAAGTTATCCGCTGACAGGTTACTAGTTTTCAAATGATTGCAGGCTCAAGTTTCCTTTTTTTTAATTCATATGAACTATGTTGTGTTTTATATGTGCCGCACAATTAAAATTTTGATTTCAAACTGACCTTGGAAGCTAAAATTTAGCCAGGTTTACAGGCAGGGAAGCTATTATCCATGGGAAGACATGCCAGTTGCTTTCGACTTTTCTCACCAAGGTCACGCGTTGGTCACGCTCTACGTCCAATTTTTATACTCTGATTGGTAAAAATTTGACAGGTGAGCTCATGCGGAAAATTTATGCAGCATCTTAAATCTTGTTTACTTTGACAGCTGAAGCTGACAGAGTTTTGTTTCAACTTGTGATGTTTTAAACTGTCTTTTTCCACTGGATGTACAAAATGAAATTCAGCCGCTATCAAGAGTCTTCTGTTATTCATGGCCAGTTTGTTTATTGGGTTTTCGGTTCAGAAATACGTTGCTTTGGCAAAGTCGGAAATCCGATTTCGGATGGCATCGTTTTCGTTTTTCACCTTGCTTGATGCGTAAGACGGTTGAAAAGTCTGAAGCAATTCTGACCTTGCTTGATAGTTTTCAGTGCATCTCGAATGGTAAGCCTGAGTAATTATTGTATTTGATGTTTGTTTTTTATATCTAATTTAATGAAGTCGAATGTAGTTTATGCGGTTATTTGGTTTATGCACGTTTGTAAGATTTGAGACAATGATCTGACCGAGTATCAGGTTTGATTTTAAGCTTATAGAACTTTAAAAAGCCTTTAGACTTTTTCTCACCGCAGATAGAAAGGAGAAGTTCCAAACAATATTTAGTTATAATTCTGGCTGTAAAAGAAAGCTTTGAGCGATTTTCTTGCCTAGAGTTCATGTTTGCAAAAAGCAAACACCAGGAAGCCGGCTTAAAACATAAACAAGGGTTTTCAGAGACACTTTAATACTTGTCTTCGTGAATGAAAATTGTCGTCTCTGTATATGTTTCACCGAATTTTTTTCCTTTTATTGATTGTTAGTAGTTTCTTTTGCAATTTGAATCGCTGTGCCGTTTGTTTTCAGTCGTTCATGAACATCGCTTGCAGGAGTTGCCAAAATGCTGTGCGTATAATCTTAATTTAACTGAGTCGACTTTGGCGCTTGTCAAAAGTGAGAACCGGCTAGCCGTATAGGTGATTTTGGAAATTTTTTCAACAGTTTCACTAAAAGCCCATGCGTGCTTCGATCGTCCTGAATATTGAATGAGTGCAATTTGTATTGCAAAATTGTGAAATACTGCATTCTGTCCAAGGTCTGTATGATAAAAACAGCGCCTCATCATGGTACTGACTTCACCTCAGATGTGATGTATAAAAAGTATAAAAGGTTGGTTTACACGTCCCATGACTTATTGGCAAGATTTTGTAAGGTAAACTTGTCGAACGCAAAATATTCGGCCTGATTTGGGCCTAAATCTACTGTGATCAAGAGCCATTATAGTTCGTGATCGAAGATGATTGCTATTTTTTGGGTTTACATATAAGGCCATCAACTCGATGTAAGATTTAGTTCACTCTTAGATGGACTAGTATTTGCAAATTATTTTTCTCTAAAATCACTTAGCCTTTCCCTCAAAAGTCACATAAATGTGCTCTAAAGTTAACTGATTTGTGGAATACAAGTTTATTATTGGATTTAATTTATAAATTCGAGTTAATAGGAGCTTCGCTTTTAGCCCTGGCTAAATCTATATATTATAAATGTACAAGTGCACACTAACCTCCAGGGCTTGGTTGTTCAAAGCTAGGTTAAGATAACCTATGGTTAAAGCAAGTTTGAACTTAGATGTGAGATCTTAAAAAGCAAATTCAGTTTAATTCTCTTTGCCTACAAAGCGATGATTGGATACACTAAAAAGAATAGAGCAAATTATTTGAGAGAGTGCTTTTGATAAAAAGAAAAAGAAACCTGAGTTAAAATGTAACCCTGGGTTTGTGCTAACCAGCATTCGAACAACTGGGCTTAGGTAATTAATACAGTGTAAAAAATTTAGAAGTTTTCATTCTACTAGTCCACTCTGAAAGGGATAGTAGTCCAAACTTTCACTTGTTTCCCTGAAATTTAATGCCTGGGCCTTGTTGAAGTGAGGGAATTCATATAATTCATATAAAATTTTAAATTCATTCTCAGGAGCCAAATAGATATAGGAATGAAGTTAATGGTTGTCATCTTACATTTAACTAGCCCTCATCAGCACCAGACCACAAACTGTAGCTCCCAAAAGGTCCAGGGTTCAAGCTTCTTGGTAAAGATCTCTAGTAGCTTGTGGTCTGGCTGGCTTCAGGCTATCAAATAGCGGGAATGGGAAAATTACAAGGCAAGGTTCACAAGGGAAGATAGGTAAACTTGTCACACACATATTACAATCGTGACCAACTCTTTTTGTGCTTGTCTATCCATGCATTTAAGTCACTAAAGTTCAGAACAGAAATTGGATCTTTTGGAACAGTTCCAATATCCGCATGTGTCCGACCAGGGATTTCTTTCAGAGCATGGATCTCTTGTAAGATCTTCACCACTGTCAGGATATCTGCATCTTGTCTATATTTATGTTTCCCAGATTCCTCCCAGACCTTGTTTTCCTTGTCGAAGTTCTTCATTGTTTCAGTGACTCCATCGCTGGCTCTATAAGTATAAATTTGGGCTGATGGAAATGTGAGGTTAGCCCCGTGTCTGGACATTAGTTCTTTTGTCTACCTTATTCTGTGCTCTTGCACTTGGTCAATTGCTACATTGCGCCCCTTCCGCCCTTCAAATTTATTGTGCGATTCCATCTCAAAGAATGTGCTTCCCTTGGTGATAAAAGAGCATTTAACTGGGTGTGAAGCCGAATGGCCGCCAAGAGAAAGCGTTCTAGTCTGCCACCATCACCTTCATTGATTGCATCTTAAAAATGATTTCTTATTTGTTATAGTCTTACAGCACCATTCAGTATCAGTTTCTTCAAGACTAGATCAACAAATGAGGAGGTCATTAATTCTACATGAAACAGCACTTACTTGTTAAAGGTTTTTTACTTCCTACTTTATCAACACTGATACTTTTTATTTTTTTCTCAATTGACTTAGTATGTGTTAGCAATTACGATCAGAATTATGTCTGCAATCACAGGTTATTTGTGGGTATAATACCAAAAAATTC